ATTCCATTCTATTTCTTAAATAAAAAAGAAAAAAACAAAAAAGAAAAAGAGTATAAAGAAATTTGTTTAATGAGGTATTTTTACTACAATAGCAGTGATATTATCAAGACTTTGTTTTTTAAATGCTGTATCACGAATACTATTAGCAGCAGTATCAACATTAACACTTTTAAAAACAAGAGTTGCAATATCATCTTCATTTAATACATCAGTAACACCATCAGATGTTATTACTATTTCAGTTACATCAGTTAAATCAAAAGAATTAACATCTGGAATAGCAGAAAGTGGTGGATGAAGTGTTCTATCACCTAATGAACGAGATAAAGCAATAACACCTTCTACTCTCCAAGTATTACCAACTTTATAACAATGACCTCCATTCTTTTCAATAAATTCTCGTTCTTCTAATATATCAGGATGATGATTAATAGTAACTTTTTCAATTTTCTTTTCTGAATTTCTTTTAATTAAAAATACAGGTGAATCACCAACATGAGCTACATAAGCTGTATTTTGTTCAATTGCAACAATTGTACCAGTTGATCCACTTTCTGTTTTTTCAATAATAATTTGATGTAATGTTTCAAATGTAGATATTAATGCTTCATGAACATCTTTCTTTTTCTCTCTTAATGCTTTTTTTAAAACAACTCCCATTTGTTTTGATAATTCAATAGCTGCATCTTGTCCATGATGACCATCAAACATACCAATAACTTCCATAAATGGAATATTTGTTTCATAAACACAACATGTATCTTCCATTGTAGGTTTTTTACCTATTGTTTGTGCAATTCCAACTTCAACTTCATTTAATGGAACAATAGCTTCATTAGGAAGAATACTTTCTCCTATTTTAATAACTCCATTTTGAGTAATTTTACATGTAAAACTACAAGTTGGTAATTGTGTTGTTGATCCAATAGCAATACATTGTCCTTCTGAATCAAAAACAGGTTGTTGAGCATGATAAAATGCTTCTCTTCTACCACGAATACGAGCAGAAGAAACAGGTGTTGGAGTATCATCAGAATGAGGAGAAGGAGTACTTTGAGGAGTATAATTTGATCTTCTTGATCTTCTAACGATTGGAGTAATAATTTCAGTTTGATCATTTACTTTAATTGTTGAATTATTATCTGATTGAAACCCATCATCATCAATTGAAAGTTTATAATCATCACCTTTTATATTTCTTTTATTCATTTCTTCAATTATTTCTTTTTTTATTTGTTCTGATAATGTTTTCATTAATTCTTCTTTTACTTCATTTCTAATTTCTTGAACTTTTGTTTCCCAATCAATTTCTTCTGATTCTTGTTCTGAAGAAGATTCATCATTTGAATCTATAGGAGGTAATGGCATTTTTTTTTCACATAAAGTAATATCTGAACATATATATGCACTCACTGGGATTTCAATAGCAATTAATGCTCCAATGAATTGATAAGTTCTAATAACACAATTCATAACTTCTAAACCAAATGAAGTTTTTACCATTAAAAACCATTTTGTTTCATGTTCTAAAGGAATACCAATAGAAATATTATTATTTTCTTGTTTAAATTGTAATTTAGTACAAATACTAATTATTTCATTAAATTGAATATGAGAGAACCATATAATATAAACTCCATCTTCAGTTAATAATTTTAAAGAAATATCATTTTCTTCATCATTTTTTATTAAAACAATAGCAGCAAATTCTCCATATTCATTAAGTACAGAAGTTGATATTTCTAAATATTTTGAACTAACAGTAATAACACGAGGAATAATTGGAAGCATAACATTTCCAGCAGACATAAATCTTGTAAAAGCTAATTGAAGAGTTTCAATTCCTAATAATTCTTCATTTCCTTTTAAAAGAAGTTGTATTTTTTCTGATGTTTTTTCTATTGAAGTTATTTTTTCAATAAGAATTTTATAATCTTCTTTAAGAGATTCTAATTGTTTATAACTTGTAGATAATTCAATTATTTTTTGTTCTAATAAATTCATTTTTTCTTCATTAATATTTGTTGTTTTAATTTCATTGACTGGTTTTGTATCAACATTAAATGGTTTTCTAACTATTGTATCCATAACTAATCCTCCATAATCAAATTGAATTTGATATCCTTCATTAACTTCATTAACATTAATAATATGTGTTAATGTTTCTAATCCATCTTTATGACTAAAAACTTTCATTGTTGTTGAATATATATTTCCATTCTCTTTTTCTGGTTCATTTTTATCTATTAATGACGCTTTAATTAATAATGAATCTAATAGAGATCCTTCCTTTTTTGTTAATTGAAAGTTTACTATTAATGTTTTTTGTTTTCCAATGAAAAATTCAAAACTTTTGGTCTTATTTTCCTCTGTCATTCAATTATCTCTTTTTAAGTTTCTTTTAGTTCTCTTCAAAACTTGGTTTTCTGTATTTTTTTTTTTTTCTTCTATCAATTCCAAAACAAAAGAAATTAAAACTTCTTGATTCTAATTCTTTTTTAGTTCGACTCTGTTTTTTCTTTCTTTCTTCTCTTAAAAAAAATAAAAAAAATCGTTGTTATAAATTAATAAATAGTAGTACTTCTTAATTGACTTTTTTTTATTGGTGTAAATAAATGTAAATACTTCTCACCTTCTTTATTTTCTCAAATTTCTCCTACTGAATTACATAAAAAAAATTTTAATTTTTTTTTTAATTTAGTTGGGATGATTTAACTCTTAAAAAGACTTTAAAAACTCTTGTTGAATTGATAATAATAAAAGTGATGAGTATATTAAAAATACTAACGATTCTAATAAATATTTAAATAAATTTACTTGATAATTTATATATAAAAAAGAATTTAAAAGAAATAAAGAAAAAGAATTAAAAATGGAATTAGAGAATAACATATTAAAAAAAAAATGTGAAAGAAAATACACATTCCCAAAAGATAAAACATAAATCATCAATTGGTATCACAAAAACAAAAAAAAAAATCCTAAAAATAAGAATTAAATAACATTTAATAAGTAATTTATGTTTTTCTTTAAAAGAATAAAACCAGAAATAATGAAGAAATAAAAAGAAATAAAAGTAATTAAGGTAATTTTAATTGAGATGAAGAAAATATTTTTATTTCTCCTTGACTTAAAGTGTCTATTTGACTTTGAAGATTATTAATTTGATTTTGATCTCCTGATAAAATATATTTATCACAAAAATATGAATTGGAATTTTTGACAGCAAGTCTAAGTTCAGCTATACTTTTATCTTTTATTTAATGAATAATAAATTCAATTAACTAACAAAGAATACAATTCAACACAAACTTTTTTCAATAAATTCTTTTTTTTTAATTTTCTCAATTTCTATTGCTTTAAAAGGGGGATTTTTGAGAGGATGAGTTTCTTCCTTAAAAATGAGAATATACTTTCTTCCTAAATACAGAGAACAAATGAATTCTTGATTAAAACAAATGTCAGAATATATTTTTAACATTTAATAATTTAAAGTTCATTTAAAACAAAAAGAAAGAGAAAAAGAAAAATGATTTAATTTAATCACTTCTCATATCTTTTATGATTTTATTAATTGCTTGTATTCGTTCTACAAGATTTGGATGAGAGTTTTCAATTGTAGAGACAAATGGATCTACAACATATGCTGATAAATTATTCTTTTGTAATTTAATTAAAGCACTTGCTAATTGATGATTACCATGTTTAGTAGCATATGCATCTGCTTGATATTCAAAATTTCTAGAAATAAAATTAATTCCTAAAGAAACAATTTCCATAAAAGGTTCAAGTAAACTTTGTAATAAAATAAATCCAACAACAACAACTTTTTGATCAAATCCAAATTGAGTATAAAGTGCTTCATCTAATAAGAAGAATTCAATAAATTTAAAAATAATAAAGAATTGAATTGATTGAATTCCTAATAATTTAAATATATGATAATGTTTACAATGTCCAACTTCATGTAATACAATATCAACTAATTCATCTGAAGAACAAGTTGTCATTAAAGTATCAAATAACACAAGATCTCTTTTTCCAAATAATCCTGAAAAGAATGCATTTCCTTCTTTTGCTTTAGAAGAAGCATCAATAACAGAAACAGATTTTAATGGGAAATTTACTTCATTTAATTTTGATTCAATTTCATTTTTACATTGATCTTCTTGTAAAGGAGTTTTTTTATAAAACAAAGGAATAATAAAAGGAACGAATATTAAAGAAATAATAACATTTAAAGTCATTATTCCAATCCATAAATACAAAGCTAAATTTTGTGTTTCAGAGACGAAATAAAGTAAAGTTATTATTACTAAATTTAATATTGTTTCTAAAATAAAAGATTTAATAAAGTCTTTAATAAATACAATAAGTGACATATTATTCATTCCATATTTTTCACGAATAACAAATGTAGTATATAATTTAAATGGAATTGAAATTAATGTAGAAATAAAATCAAATATTATTATAAATATTATACTCGTTAAAAATTGATTGTGTATTGTTGAAAAATCCCAAATAGTTCTTAAAATTGGTGAACATAATACATACATATTTATTATAAATGATATCGTTAATCTTATAAATGATACTTTACTTAATTCTAAATGATAATTTTGTGATTTCTCAAATTCGTTTTGTTCAATACTATCACCATATACTTCTTTAACATCATTTGGTATTTCTTTTATATAATATAATTTATGTTGTCTATAATGTTTATATAATTCAAATAATGTAGTTAATATTGTTAACACTATTTTATTAGTATTCTTATTATTCTTAGTACTTCTTTTTGTTTTTTTTCTCTCTTTCTTTTGTAAAAAAAAAGGAATGAAAAAAGAAGAAAAACAAACCAATAATACTTGTCCAATATGGAAACATGTTTTATTTAATATTTGAGTTTTAACCCTTTTTTTATTTTATTTTATTTTTTTTTTGTATAAAAAAAAACAGAAGAAGGGACGGGATTACTCTCCCCTGAAGCTAGAATTATTGAAATTAGCTCTCTTATCACTTAATTAATTGCTTTTATTATTATTGTATAAAAAAACATTAAAATCACATTAATTACTCAAAGAAAGTCATTCATTATTTTTAAGAAAGTCATTGTCTCTTTTAGTTAATGGATCTTCATCATTTTATTCAACAACAACTTCTTCTTTTACAAAAAGAAAATAAAAATTATATTTCTATTCAAAATGATATTATTTCTTTCTTTCAAGGATTTTCAAATGATCAACAACTTCAAGTATTAGCAGATTATATATATTATATTATTAATTCTGCTATTACTAAACATTTAACTAAAAGTTTATTTTATCATAATTTTATTAAATTATGTTCTTGTCTTCTTGTACAAATACCAAATGCTTCAACAATGTTATTTCAATTAATTATACTTCCTAAAACAACATTTCAATTTAAAAAACAAATTACTAAATTATTATATTATTTTAATCCAACAGTATTTCCTGAAAATTCACAAAGTATTTTAAAAGATTTATTATTTTATTCAACATCAACAAAATTACAATGTACAATATTATCTTTATTAATGAAAATGAATATTAAATGTAAAGAGTATTATTTATTATTATCAACATCTTCAAATAAATTATTACATTTATTAAATCATCAAGAAATAATTGAACAAACATCATTAGAAGTATTATTACATTTATCAATGAATACAATTACTCATGACAATGCAATAATAATTTTAAATAATAAATTTAACTCATTTTCATCTGATCAAATTCGTTTATTATTTCATTTTATTATTACTTCTTATAATGATTCTTTTATTCAACCAGTGTGTATTGAACTTCTTAAAATGATTTCAAATATTCCTGAAACACTCTTTATGAAATTAAATTATTTAATTGATGCTCCTTTAATTTCTCTATTATCTACTCTTCTTCTCCATCATATTACTCCTCAACAATTTTGTAATGTTAATAAAATTACAATAACATCAAATCAATTTATACTTCATTGTGCTGCACGTGTATTTGAAAATAATCAAACAATACCAATTGAATTAAATGAATTATATATATTAAATCAATTAGAACAATGTAATATGGGATTAATTGATATGATGATTTATTGTCCACAATTATTATTTAAAACAAGAATTAAAACATCTGAAATATTTGAACAATTATTAAAGAAATCAAGTTATATTTATCATGAATATTCAAATATTGGAATAATTGTACAATGTTGTGTTAGATTATTACCAAAAGAATCAATAACTATTATAATAAATTATTTATCAAATATTGATTTTAATTATCAAATGAGTGAAACACTTGGTTGGAGTTTTGAATATTCAATTCAATATTTTATTCATCCAAGTTATGTCAAATTACCTTTAATGAATGAAACTGAAAAATGTGTAATAATTATAAATACTCTTCTTTCTTCTAATCAATTTATTGAACCTTATAAAACTACTTTAGAAGAACAATATATTATTCCTTTATTAGCATCTAGAAATACTGTTGTTATTGCATTATTTATTATGTTACATCATTTTATGGATGATTTAATTGAATTACTTCCAATGATTATTGAACAATTTTGGAATGATACAAATCAAATGATTCATTCTAGTTTATTAGAAACATTCATTCATTGTATTAATGAATATGGAATAGAAAAAGTTGAATCAAAATTAGAAAATTGTAATTCAATACAACATGGTTCATTTCATTATCAATCGGTTGCTTCAAATGAAATTACTGAAATTTTTCAATTTCATTTCGATTTTTATGTTGATTCAATACTTCCTCGTGTACTTAGTGAAGAACTTCATAAACCTAGATTATCAAAAAGAATTAAATTTATTATTATTAATGGGGTAATTGATATGATGAAAAATGATATTTTACTTGATCCAATCGTATTAAGTAGAACAATTATTATAATATGTAAGGATATGCCAGAATATTTAGATAAATTAATAATCTATTGTCATTCACGTGATGAAATTGTTGAAGAAGCATTATTATCAGCTCTTCTTCAATTAATTCAATCAAAAGAAATCAATGAACTTCTTTCAATTATCAAATATTTTATTCAAAGAAAAATTATTAAAGGAAAACGAATGTTTATAGGAATTATTGGGGAATTAATCAATGGATATTCAAATACAATTAAACTTATTTTTATGAAATTATTAAATGAAATTACTGAATGGGGATATGGTTGGGAATTACTTAGAGGAATTGGAAGTGTAATATTAAATAGTATAAAATTTAAAGGAGAACTTGAAAAAGAAAGAATAAAATGGTTATTAAATGAAGAAGAAACAAGAAAAGAAGATGTAGAAACAATTCCTAAAACACAATTTTCATTATTATATGATTCATTATTTCATTTCTAACTAAAATAAAAAAAAATTGATTGAATTATTGTTTATAACCCATCCATCCAATCTATAATTCTATCATCTATTATTTCTTCATTTCTTAATTTGATTTTATTTACTGTATGATATAATTTTTTCATATAACTTTCAGTGTTTGTTTTTAACCATTGAGTCTTATCTAATCCTTCACTAAAATTATTGGTTTTTATTGCCTTGTTCATTTTATTATTAAATTCTACAAAACTTTCTCCTTGAACAAGGCATTTACCATTTTTAAAATACATAATTGTTATATATTCTTGAGCAATATTTAAATGAGGAATAATAAATGGATCTTCAAATGTATACATATGATAAATAGGAATATCTTTTCCATAAATTGAAAATTCATCTTGAGTTACTTCACGACAATTTTTTGGTGTAGTAAATAAAATAAATTGAGGAATTTGTTTTTTAACTTCTTCCAAATCAGAGTTTTGTTTGAGATGTATTAACCAACACGAATGAATATTTTGTTGAGACATAGAATTTATTTTATTTTTATTTTTTTCAACAATTGTATTAAATATTAATGTCTTTTCAAAACTAAAGATTTAATGATATTTAAAAAAAAAAAACTGTTCGAAAGAGAAGATTCAATGAATAAGAAAATAAGAAAGGAAAGAAAGAAGAACACTGAGTAATTATTATTCATCTTTGTTATCTCCATGTTGATTATTCAAATATGAGTATCTGAAGAGGTTATCTAAATAACGATAAAGAGTACAAGCAAGAACCATTTGAACAATAGCAAAAATCGAAAATGCAGCTACAACAGCAAATCCAGCAATAGACAAATTCCAAATAGAATTAAATTCTTGAATACAAGTATGTCCTTGTGAAAATGCTGCAGGATAAGCACATTTTGAAGCATCAGCTGGAAGAGTTTTCCATCCACAACAATGGAATCTTAATTCCCAAGTTGCAATAGTTGATGACATAGTTGCTTCTGAAGCAGCAGTTAAACCAAATGTAATCATTCCAAAAACACCTTCTAATACAAACCATGTTATTAACGATACTATTAATGTCATAAAATAAAGCATCATACTCCATTGTTTTTCTAAAAGAGCACCAACCATTCCTAATGAACCACTTAACATACAAATTGCACCAGCAACAATAAGATATACACACGATGCTTTTGTAAAATATAAAGTTAAATCACCATCTTTTCCTTCAGCTGATCGAGCAAATGCATTAATATCTTTTGTAAATACAATTGATGCAACGATTAAAAAAAATCCTATTAGAACATAAACGGCTGCTGCTATAGTTGTTGATAGTTCAAGTTTACTAACCATTACTTCTTTTTAAAGTTCTCTTTTTAAGTTTCTTCAAAAATTATTCAATTTTTTAAGTCTTTTATTTTTTTTTAAGTTATTTTTAGTTTTTTTTTTATTTTATTATTTTTTTTTGTTATATAAAACGTAAATATGAGATAAGTTTTTAATGAATAAAAAGTCACAAATGACAAAATTGTCTTAAACCCGTAAAATGTGGGTAATCAGTCGGTCGTTCATAATCACTAGAAGCTAATTTAAAACCATACACACGAGGAATATAATGAAATGCATTTTTAGGATGTTCATCAAGTTGTAATAATAAAAGATGAGCAAAAGTAGTTCCAAAAAATGCACCGTCTAATTTTCTTGAAGCGAATTGTTGTGGGACTATATAAATATCATTACAACAAGGACAATACAATCTTACAGGTTCCATACCTGGATTATCATATAATCCTAAAGGAAGAAGAGGATATCTCTAAGTAATTAATTCATGTTATTCATTCATTTTTATTTTAATAAAAGAGAATTAAACAAACATTACATTTCATACAAGGACAACATCCAAAAGCAGAATGTTCATATTTTCTTAACATTTTTTGTTGTCCAGCTGAAGTAACAATATATCGAGCATGAATTAAACCATATAATTTTTTTGATTCTTCATCAATTTCTTGTTGGATATCTGGTGTTATTTCTTGTGAATATTCTAATTGTAAAATTGTTTCAATTGCAAGTTGAAAATGTGGAACACTATTTTCTAGTCCATATAAATTAAAGTCGTTGTCGATAAATGACTCATCTACTTCACACATAAATTCATTTTCTCTAAAAATTAATTACTTTTTTATTCTTTCATTTTTCTTTTTAATGAATAAAAAACAATTAAAATTTATTCAAACTCCAATGAACAAAACCACTTAATCCAAGTCATTTCCCCATTTTCGTCCTCTGATATATTCATTAATTTACTGTTTCAATTAAACATAATGAGTTCTTTTTCTGTCTTTTTGAAAGGAAAAAGAGAGAAAGAAAAAATGAAAAGAAAGAAAGAAAAAATGAAAAGAAAGAAAAAATAAAAAAAAAAGAAAAAAAACCAAAAATATTAAATAATAAAGAAGTTGGACAATTTATTGTTTTTTACTTAAAAAAAGATTTTATCTTATAATTTACTCATCACTTTCTTTACAATAATATATCTCGCCATATTTAGTAAATGAATGACCTAATAACCAATACATTTTCTCTTTTATTTTTATTGTTTTAAAATACGTTTTCATAGTACTTTTTACTGAATTACGAAATTTTGATGTGACTGATAATGTTTTTTGTGTTTTAGCTAATACGCAATTTAATAAATCTTCATATTCAACTCGAACAATATATCTATCTGATTTTTTAATCCATTGAAATACTTCTCTACAAGTATTAATTAATTTAATTATTTGATAATAACTTAATGGTTCAAGTTGTTGTCTTTTTTTTAATTCTTCCATTGTAATTGGTTTTCTAATTGGTTTTAATGATTTATTTGGGTCTTCTAAAAGAAGTTCTTCTTCTACAATTTTTTGTAAAATAGGATTTCTAATTAAAGGAGAGTGAGTAGGATAATGTGAAGGAATAGGTGGTATTTGACCTTTACTATGGAGTTTAGAAAATATTGTAATAGTGTCAAGATAGTTAGTTCCTGCTTTTATATTTTCCATTTCAGTTTTAAAATATTTAATTATTAATCGTTCTTTCTCTATAATGCAATTATATCGATGTCGTTCATTTGATAAACTCATCGCTTCTTTTCATTTAGAGTTTTGTTGTTTTAATTTTCAAATTAGATAGAAAAAAAAAACTGGAAAAATACAATTAAAATTAGTACTAAGGTTTTTGAAAAGAAGTTAGTTTAGATATTTCTTCATTATTTGATAATAATATAAATCTCTTATTATCTCTGATCATTTTTGAAATATATGAGTTGACTTTTTCACCAATCATTTGAATGTCATTTTTATTAAATATAATTTCAGAGTTATATCTTATTTCATTTATGGTTTCTTTTTGTTCTAATCCATTCTTTGATAAAAACAATTTACAACTTAATGTAAAATGTAATTCTGTTAATAAATCAATCAAAAAATGAAGGGATTCTATAAATTTATTAGTTTCATATCTTCTTAATGCAGTTTCATGTGAAAGACCACTTTCTATTTCTTGTTTCATTCTCTTTTCACATCTTTTTTCAATAAATGAATTGACTGAAATTATATCTTCTTTTGAAAATCTTATTTCTTTTACATTTAAAAATTGAGAGGTTGTAGTACTTCTTTTTATTGGTTTATCAAAATAAATGTCTCCATATTTACTTAGAATTAATAGGAATATCGATTGTTGATATACTTGATAATTCTTAGTTTTTTTATATTTTTGACTCTTATTATGTGTATGTTTAATATTCAAAATTCTAAGAGGCTTCTTGTTAATTAATTGAGTATCCATTTGATATATAGTTTTTCTTTGAGTGTTTCAATAAGAGAATGAAAGAATAAACTTAATTATTCTACACTTATTTGAATTTTCAATTATCTTTTTTTATTTAAAACTTTCATTTCATATCTCTATTCCTTTTTCTTTTAATATTTTTCTTTTGTTTTATTGAAATTTCTTTCAAAGTCTTTCTATGTTATAAACTTCGATTTATTTTCTTATGATAATATATTCTTATTTTAATTACATTTTTTTTCAATAGAATTTTCAAAAGAAATATTCATTTATTTTAAATTTTCTTTGTAATTCGTTATCAATTGATTTTCAATTGTATGAATTTTCAATAATTTGATTCTTTTTTTAAATAACTATTTCAATATATCAACATCCATATGTTCTTTTTCACTTATTTTAACTCAACTAATATTTCTTGTATAACAATATTCATTTATTTATTAATTATTTTTATTTAAAAAGGAAAGACACAAACTCTTAATTACACCAAGAAATTAATAACTTCTCTTTATATTCTATTATGACAAAATTTATTCTTCCAGTATATTTATTATCATTAATTTATGTACAATCCATATATAAGAGTTATAATTATTCAATTTGATCAGTGATTATTTAAATAATTCTTTAACATATTTATTTGGTTGTTTATGTTCATTGGAATATTACTTTTATATTATTTCATTCATTATTAAAAAGGGTTATTCATTATT